ACATTAAGTTCCCATTCAGAGACTAACACAACTTTGGTCGCAAGTGAAATCTGTGACTGAAATCTCTAGCCTGGCCAACAGATCTTTGTTGTTTGAGTGATCTTCTGGTTAAAGAGCTTTGAAGCACTGATTTGGTCAAATTCTGGGTGCCCTGAAGCTGCTGTCTAAGGGAGCACTGTGACCCTCAACAGGGGTTTGTCTCAAGGGCTGAGTGGAAGCTGCTGAGTGTTGCACAGGATCTGCTTTGCTCTCCTTCAGAAAGGGGAACTGAAGTCTCAGCTGTGGGCCCCCAGAAACTTGTTGAGTATCTGTGAACAAGCAGCGGTAAAGAATTCTTTTGGTTTGTTTTAACTTTTATCCTATTATTAGAGTGGTTTCATGCTCAACATTTCAGAAGGTGCCATCTCTGAAATGCACTACTTAGTACATTTGCACTAATTAGTGCCCTCAGGGAGCCATTTGCATGCAGGAGGGAACAGAGGACAACAGGGATTTCCTGATCTAAGTCCAGTCACTTGGGATTGTGGGAAACCACATCATATAAACTGACTAAGCTCAGCATATTACTACTCAGTTCTGCGGGTCCCCCCTCAGCATTATGGTTAACGCGTACCTCCAAGCACAGGAGATCCTTGATCAGCCTGATTTTTGCCCTGTGTCTGGTGGAGAGGGAAGACAGTGTAATCATTTACACCGTTTCATGTTATGTGCCTGGTTTTCAGCTTTTGTTATTGCGACCCTTTTCTCCATATGGGAGCTAACTTTTAGGATATATCTTTTGTTCTGACCTGTCTTGAGCTTCAGCCTGGATTTGCCGTACCACACTTTTGTCTGCACTTAGCATTCTGAGAAGCATTTATTGCGTTAAGGAGATTTTTAAGTTGGTTGGGGTTTTTTTTTTGAGTAAAGATATTGCATCAGTCTGGTTTGCAGCTATTTTATGTGTTGCTTGTCTCCAGCTGGCTGAATGCCCTTTCCCTTCCCCCTCCTTCTTTACGTGGCAGCGCACGGAAAGATGATTGATGGAGTGTCACCAGTGCGTTGTCAAAGGCTGGAGTAGATTAATGGGCAAGAAACACCAGCCTGCTCCCCTTCACATATGATTGTTTGAAGGAGGGCTCATATTTTAACGGAAATGATATCCTGCTTCTCTGGATTCCCCCAATCAGGAATTGAAGGATGGGATTCATATCTGAGATTGAAGGATGCCAGCCATAAAGAGCCCGTTTATGACTTGGGGCAACTGCCTGCCTTCCATTAGACCAGCAGCACTCACCCTGAGGCCTGTTTCACTGAGGCTGCTGTCGCCCTTATCAGTGTGGATTTGTGCCACCCATTAATGTTTATACCTCTGTTTCTTTGTATTTGCAGACACAACTACTTATGGCATAGGCCAAATGGCCAGATCTCTGATCTGTTACTGGCTTTTCCACCTGGATGACACTGGCCAGTTTGGCCGTGCTGCATGAAGTGGCCATGTACGACCCAGAGCAGCTGAAAAGGCTTTTTAGGTGGTTGGCCTTGGACACGAATTCAGTCTTGGTCTGTGCCTCGATTCCCCAGCTGCAAAACAGGGATGGCAGTATGGTAATTTCCAAACATTGCACTTGCCGTGAATTGTTTCCTAGCAGAAACGCTAGGAATGCAATTTGTAAGAGAAATTAATCAGACTCGTCTGAATCCTGGCTGGGGAAAAATAATCAGACACAGCGCATGATTGTTTTCTGCATTTTCTTGAAGGTAGACATTGCCAGCATTTAAAAATCAGCTATTCTGGTCCAAAGAGATACTTCAGCATCGTTATTTGTAGTCCCCAATAGTGGCCTCCTTTAAAAGGTTTGAATGTGGCAAGAATTGTATCTTTCACACCAGCCTATCTGTGTCTACCAGAAGCACACACCTGGCTGTCATAAACCCCGGTTTCAAGGGCTAGATGGAGCCCATTTTTTCTCATTATACAGGGAACAGCTGTTCTTCCAAGTTAATTCTCTTTTCAGTGGCTCTGATCTCCAGCCTGTGTCCAACCAGCTAAAAGATGCATTTAAATGCCTCTTAAAGCAGGTGCATTTTCTTTTCATAGATAGCTAGAAATCAGAGCTACTCTGCATTTTCTTGTGTTTTTAACAGTCAAAATAATAAAAAAATCTGTACTTGTTACCTCACTAGTAAGAAGCGATTACCTGTGCGTTGCTGATTCCATCCAGCTCTCTGTCCACTTTTTTCCTTGTCATGACAAAGGTTTGTGTTTCATGCAGATGTAGACATTTTCTTTGATAAGACACTTGTGGCAGGTGATGTTTAGTTAACATAACTATTCCTCACCTTTTATGTTCCCAGAGTTCATCTCTGGAGTATATTGGGGTGGTTGTTTTTGAGGAAGACACATATGTGAGTTTTTCTGCTGTTTCTAGGGAGATACATTCTGTGGTTTTACGTTTACAAAACTTTTCCTTGTGTTACGGAGTATGATACATCCCCTGAAATTTAAATCTGATTAAGAGAACTGATACTTTGTTTACTTGGCATTTCAGTTGTTTCGGTTTGGGGTTTGTAACAGTTTGGGTTTAGGTCAAATTGCCGTTTTGTTCTCTGCAGCCATTTCCTCTAGTCCAGAAGACAGTACCTACCTTTGTAAGGCAAGCTACGTTTCAGTTTCATATTTGTTGCCCCAGACAACTCTTCCTAGATGGGATACTGGAAGGCAAGAGAAGAAAAAAGAAACTTCCTGATAACATGCCCATGCTTGATACTGGCAGAACTTGTGCAGTTCGCAGGCTGTGCGTGTTCTGCAGCCAGGCCAGGGTTTCTCTGAGTCATGATGTGTGGGCCATGAGCATCATCTTCTGTGCTAACTAAAGCGTACATGGCTGGGAGAGCTGCTTGCTCTTTGGCAGTTTGTTTTCATTTGTTCTCCAAGAAAATGAAGCTTCAGGCAGACTTTTACTGAGCACCTTACAGATGTTGCCATGCACTGACACTCTGTACAGTTTACATGCCTCCCCTTTCTCTTCTTTCACTGGGACAGCAGTGGGTTGGATATTTGGAGCCTGCTTTTCCTTTTCTCGGAGAAAAATAAATAAAAAAAGATTGCGTAACCATTAATGATTTGTTATTGTGTCTGGGAGCCACTCTGCTGCAGGACTTTGCTCTAATGGTGCTTTCACAAGAAAGAACTAATTTGACTAACTTTATTAATTCCAGTTTGTTTTAAGTTTGCTCATTAGTAATTTAACGCAAGATGCTTCTGCTGAAGAGGCCATGTCAGGACAAGGAAAAGCAGAGGGAAAATGCCAGGAATCATTAGTGTTTATTAACCGCTGCGCTCATCAATCTTGACTAAGAGCACAGTCCATTCGTTCTGGACTGGTGGACTGAGATACAGAAATATCATTAAGAGCGGAAAATGCTTCTTTTCAGGCCAGTCTGTAACGGACAGGCATTCGGACAGCACCCACACCCCCCATCACCAGATATTTTCAGCCTTTAAGTTGGTCTCCTCGCAGTCCAGCCCAAATTGACAGCGCTCAGCAGCCTTGTGGAAGGAAGAAGCCCTGCCCCTAGCCAGGCGTAGCATCAATTAACAAATACAGCATTTTCATCCCCAGTAAACATTACTGAAAGGTTAAGTGTTGTTATGAAGGGGGTTTTTAATTGCTTTTCAAATTATTAAATGATTAATACTTATGTGCTTTGCTGGATCAGGCCTGGCACTTTGTGCTGGCAATGCATACACCTCACAGCAATTCTTGAAACATTAAAATGGAAAGGCACAATTTTTTCTGTTTAGACAAAGAGTTTAATAACCAATTTCAGTAACTTCAAGGCATTGAGCTGGTGACTCAGAGCTCTGACCTGTGCATCAGGGCTGAATGAATGCCTCCAAAAGGTTGGAGAAGGGAATAGTACTGCATTTGCCAGGTTTCTAATGAGAAATATGACCCCTGCCCAGACCAGTTGTGGTCATTAAGGATCGCATTTCACTTTGAGACCTCACATCCTACCCAAATTGCAACTTGAGTAGATACATTCTGCTCACTAAAATAACCCTGTGGTTTAATTGGAGAAGTTACATCCCTCTCCCTCTTAAAAGCTTTGTTGTGTAATGTTGTGGCGCTATCATTTTGTGCTGTATAATCTAGAGAGCAAACACACACACGCGCAAAAAACACACCATGAAAACCCTTGAAGTTGCTAGCTTTCCACAATAACAAATAGAATTAGAGGGACAGTAGCGTCTTGGAACCCAGTTGAGCATCGTTTCCCCATTGGAGTCTCTTGCCACCCTTCCAAAACATGGGGCAAGCACTGTCATGCTGCAGAGGCAGCATTTTTGCATTTATGTTGCACATGTGTACATCGCTGCACAGGGCAAAGCATCGAGTGTCTGGTTCTAGACACGAGGTCTTTCGCAGTGAGCACATTAGGCTTAGTGTTGTGATGGCACAGCCTGGGAACAAGCAATAATTTTAAAACACAGCATGGATGTTCAGACAGATTGTGTGTCATGACTTTTTGTGGATAAGATTTAGGTACTTTATGGGGAAAGGGTTTTATTGGATGACATTCAGTGATAGAGGGGATGGAAAGAGATTGCAGTTTAATTAAAATTCTAATCCTGAGTTTGACAATTTTTCTTGCCAGGTCAGCAGCCTGCATGTTCTGTTTGTGATTCCCGTGAATTAAATGGGCTGACAATCGTCAGCTTCTTCGGAAATGCCTGTAAATCCAGCTAAAAATTAGCAAACATCAATATGTTTCAGAGCAGCTTTGAGTAAGGATATGTCACGCAGCAGTTTTCCATCAGTGTGCCTACAGGAGACTTTCATAAGCACCAATTCAGTCCACTGCTGCCAGTGTTCAAACACAGATGAAGAAACCCTTCCTCTGTGGTAGGAAGTCACATTTCCCGTCCTGTGCTGCAGAAATCTCACTGGCGTGTTCCTGTTTTCCAGGTAGTTAAACAGAGTTGCCACAAAGGTAGTACGTGTCTCTCACCAGCCATGAGGCTTCCTCTGCTTTGTGCCTCTGTGATGCTAATGAGTCTGTCCCAGTGCAGAGCTGTCAGCTTCCCTGAGGATGAGGACCCTATTAACGTTGTTGACTACCACTGTAAGTAATCTGCAAATGGTGCTAAGCACTAGGGAAAAAGTTTGTTTATTTATTTATTTCTCCCTCTTGGGAAGTTTAAAAAAAAAAAAGTCTTGTTTCTTTTCAAATTGAAATGCATTTACTGGTTTTATATCTTTAATAGAACACTTAATCATTTTCTTAAAAAAGCAATCAGAAATGCAGCAATAACTTCAGGAAAAAGAACATTTGCTGACATTAGCCATCTTTTTCTCATTTATATTCAAGACATTACTCAAGGAATTTAGTTTAAACCCTTCTACACCTAGTATATACAGCTAATCAATGCCATATATTGATTCTTTAGCTCTATAATCCTGAGTGATGGTGTAGTCCATTTTTACTTGCAGATTCAAGGCAATATCCAGTATTTAGAGGACGCCCTTCAGGCAATGAATCTCAGCACAGACTGGACTTCCAACTGATGTTGAAAATTCGAGACACACTTTATATTGCTGGCAGGTAATTTTCCTTCACTCAGTTCATTAGATTAAAATTCTTTTCTCTTCTGGTTTTGCATTTATGTGTAAAATTCATTTAGAAAACTCTGCAGAATATGATAAAAATTAGAATTGGGGTAGGACTTCCCAGAGAAATAGACTATATCTGTGGCCAGTGCATGAAAATTGGATTTGAAGGCTGCAGTTACTGTGTTACGCTAAAACCAACGATCAAATGCTCTTTTCCCTCTTTCACATTACTGCCCTGATAAAAACGTCTCCTGATCATTTTAAGCTTGGACTGACACATCAGGATGTAGGAAGTGAGGATAACATGCTTGAATATTTACAGTCCAGATTAGTCTTCAGTTGAATAGAAAGACAGAGCTGGATAGCTGGACACTCGCTGTAGGTGCTAAGGACCACACTAATAAAAATAAAACAACCTCATGTTGCCTATGACCAACCTTCTCCAATTTGTATTAAATACAGGAAGTTCATAAGCATTCTGTAGAAGCTTCCAGTCTAACAAAACACTGTAAAATATATTTAGCTTTTTAAAGATAACACCAGTGAATTAATGAATTTACTTGTGTCTTTTTACTCTTTGGAAACAGGGACCAAGTTTACACTGTAAACTTAAATGAAGTTCCAAAATCAGAAGTTGCTCCAAGCAAGGTGAGTAGATACAGATGCTGGCAAAGGAGACATATTTTCTTTGGTTTTAATTTTATTAAGATTTTTTTTTGTGGAAAGCAAATCAAATATTCTTCTCTGCTTTGATTTAACAGAAATTAACATGGAGGTCAAGGCAGCAGGACAGAGAGAACTGTGCTATGAAAGGCAAACATAAAGTAAGTTTAGCACATCCATTATAGAAAAACAACACTGATTATTATATATGTGAAGTCTATGCTTAATACATCTTATTCTCTTTTCAGGATGAATGCCATAACTTCATTAAAGTTTTTGTTCCAAGAAACGATGAGATGGTGTTTGTCTGCGGAACGAATGCATTTAACCCTATGTGCAGATACTATCGGGTAAGAATATTGAATATGTCATTAATCTGTTGCTGATTTTGCTTGCACTAATTATGCTTATATAGCAAATACATCCACTGTGATTGGAGAGTGCTTCAAGGTGAAATGGGACCAGACAGAAGCCAATGTGCTGAATTAAGTTTCGTGCTTTTGTACACTGGCCTTTGTGCCAGTGTACGAAATAGAAATGACACTATCGCCCGTTTATTTTTCTTCTCTAGCTGAATACCTTAGAGTACGATGGGGAGGAAATTAGCGGTTTGGCAAGATGCCCATTTGATGCCAGACAAACCAATGTCGCCCTCTTTGCTGGTAAGAACTTTTGCTTGTAATGAGTCTAAATGATTAATGACACCAAAGGAGACAGAGAGCTTTTAAAGCAAGCATAGGAAAGCTAAAGGTGTTATAGTGCCCCGGTCTTAAACTTTTTAACAGGCCTCCAAAGGATTAGAAGCTGACCTGTTAATAAATAGGTTATAGCAATCTGGGGAAGAGTGGCAGTAAAGAAATGGGGAAACATACAAGCTAGTCAGAGTTCTGTACGTTATTAAAGGTGTCTTAATACTGTGTTTTCAACTTCGTTTTAGATGGAAAATTGTATTCAGCAACAGTAGCGGATTTCTTGGCAAGTGATGCTGTTATTTATCGCAGCATGGGGGATGGATCCGCCCTAAGAACAATAAAGTATGATTCCAAATGGATAAAAGGTAATTTGGGGGAGTATTTTCCTGTACACTTGGCAAATGCAATTCCAGTGACACAGAGGGTCAGGTAACTCCGAGCCAGTGTGCTTCACACGTGTGCTACAATGTGAGCATAGATATGTCTTTCCATATAGTGTGATTGCAATTAAAAAGCCATTAATACAAATAAAGCAGTTTTTGTTGAATGTTTCAGTGAATGAATCTGCCACAACAAAATACCTTGTCTGAAATGCTATTTCTGCGAGGCCTTTTTACAGTCCATTAGCCAACATTAGAGACTTTATTTGAGCTCCAGTGCACCCATATTTGGAGATCCGAAAGTATCTGAAAGACTGGAGCTCATGCTCCCTGGTACAGACCTGTGGAGAAGCCGCCAAGGCACACAGCATAGTCAGTGTCATGTGCCGATTGAGTAGTTCTTGGAAGTAACCTTCTTGTTCTTTCTTACAGAACCACACTTCCTTCATGCCATAGAATATGGGAACTACGTTTATTTCTTCTTCCGAGAAATTGCTGTAGAGCACAATAATTTAGGCAAGGTAGGTATCATCACAGCAAACTTGTCAGGTAGCCGTGAGCTGTAGCAGTAGATCATCCTAAAACAGCATCAGTAACAGGCATGGTTCACGCTATGAGGTAGAGACGAGTGCAGAGTTTGCAGTTTTCCCGTCATTATAATTTAGAGGTGGGGGGAAGAGAAATAGAACAGTGCACTCTTCAACCAAAAAGTTGTTTCTGTTCTCTGTGCTTGCTATTACGTGAGCTTACTACAGGTTTCCTTGTTGTTGCCTTAGTGTTGCTGTTGCCTTAACACTTGGGGAAAGTAATGGGAAATCCGAGGGTTTTCTCATGCTTATTAAAGAAACAAAGGAAAACAAGACTAAAGAAGAGTTTCAAAGAAGTTTCTCTAATGTCCCTGGATATTGAATAATACAGGCATGCCAGTACAGAGTATAATATTGTGCCTCACCATGGAAGAATATGCTATAATAAATTATTAAATCCTTTACACATGGTTAATTAAAGTCTTTAAATCTCACTAACAATATGATTTTGAAGGGAAAGAAGGGTGGGGAGAAGCTGCAGAGTTGAATTTGCTTGGTGATACATTAAGATGTCTGCACACTACAAGCTAAACGCTGTTTGCTTTCATCCTTTCCGTGCAGATAAATGGCAGCTTCCTGTTAACAAAATTATCTCTGGTGCTTTATTAACAGCTCAGAAACAAGCACTGTTTTCCTTTGCATCTCTCAAGCCCTCCTCCCTTTTCCTTTTTTTTTCTTTTCTTTCTCAGGCTGTGTATTCCCGTGTGGCACGCATATGCAAAAATGACATGGGGGGGTCCCAAAGAGTTCTGGAAAAACACTGGACATCCTTTCTGAAAGCTCGGCTTAACTGCTCAGTTCCCGGGGATTCATTTTTCTACTTTGATGTTCTGCAGTCTATCACAGACATAATAGAAATCAATGGAGTCCCCACAGTTGTCGGTGTATTCACCACACAGCTTAACAGGTGAGAGCTAAGCAGCCATACATCAAAGATGGTTCTCTGGTTCTCTCTTACGCAGAGATCGGTGCCATTGTAGTCTGCGTTCTTGCAACTATTTTTCTAATTTTACAGCATCCCTGGTTCAGCAGTCTGTGCTTTCAGCATGGATGACATTGAAAAAGTCTTCAAAGGGAGATTTAAAGAACAAAAGACTCCTGACTCTGTTTGGACAGCTGTACCTGAAGACAAAGTACCAAAGCCAAGGTAAAAGGTTCTTACTCATGATGCCATAATATTGTCCTTGTAAAGACCTGCCTTAAATCAGCTGCACTCTTGAGCGTCTTGTCGGGTGAAAACCGAAGCAGAGCTTTACACTTCAGTCATAAGATGCTCATTAGCAGGCTGCCTTCTCTCATTAACTGAAATACCAAGAGGAAAACAATGTTGTTCTCCTTTCAGACCTGGCTGCTGTGCAAAACACGGCCTAGCAGAGGCTTACAAAACCTCCATTGATTTCCCAGACGAAACACTCTCCTTCATCAAATCTCATCCTTTGATGGATTCAGCTGTTCCCTCAGTCTTTGAGGAGCCCTGGTTTACCAAAACACGTGTCAGGTATGACACCATTCAGAAATGATCCACATGAAAAGGAAAACAAGAAAACACGCTCTTAATGACCTGCCTTTTCGTCTTTGATAGATACAGATTGACAGCAATTGCTGTGGACCACGCGGCTGGACCATACCAGAACTACACAGTCATATTTGTTGGCTCCGAAGCAGGAGTAGTACTTAAAATCTTGGCAAAGACCAGGCCTTTTTCTTTGAATGACAGCGTATTACTGGAAGAGATTGAAGCATATAATCATGCAAAGTAAGTATTACCAGAACACCGAAGCTCTTCATCTAGTCCTCGGTACGTAGCTAATAAAAAAATGTGGTAAACGAAAACCAACTCATTATCACCAACATCGCCACTTGTTTATCATGTCACAGTGTTTGTCATGTTGAATAACCTGAAAATATTTGTTTGCTTGCCATTTTGCCTGGGTTGAGTGAGCAACCTAATTCCACTCTAGTGACGTCAGTGATACAGTCTAATTCTTCTGCAAATAGATAGGCTTCTTCCTGAATATGAAAAGTCAGGCTTATCGGCTGCTGGTCAAAAGAAATGATGTGAGCTTATCTTGAGGGTTTCTCAAGAGTGACCAATAATGTATAAACTACGTCTAGTAATTTTAAACTTGTTTATTCTGGCACAAAGAATTTGGGAATGGAAGCATTCCAATTAGACTCTACAGGCATCCAGTGAGGGACTCCTGTTCTGCTCTGTTGAGATATTTATGCCATCTGAGAGAACAAAGAAAATGGATTTGGACTTTTTTCCTACATAGTCCAGTGAACTTTGTCACCTAGCTGTAAATAAGAGCCAGAAGCTGGCATTTGATAACCCATAGGTTTGTTTAGACATCACTAAGCAGAGAGTAGTAAGTTACTTTTGTATTTGTAAAAAGTCTTTTTTCAGTATCTACATGGACAGTAAATAAAACATTTGCAGTGTAAGCTCTGCACCAGGTGCTGCAGTTATTAAGATAATGGCCTCTCGTTACTTTTTCTGAACAGGTGTAATACTGAGAGCGAGGAGGACAGAAGAGTCATTTCCCTTCAGCTGGATAGAGACCACCATGCTCTGTTCGTGGCATTCTCCAGCTGCGTCATTAGAATTCCTCTGAGTCGGTGTGAGCGTCACGGTTCATGTAAAAAGTACGGCCTCGTTCCTGAACTCCCCCTTAAAGGAAAGGCACCTACATCTCTTGGGAAGGAAATAAAAAATTCATGGTTTTGGGGGGTTTTTCTCTTGCAAGGTCATGTATTGCTTCACGAGACCCATATTGTGGCTGGTTAGACCACGAGACTTGTGGAAGAGTGACACCAGGCATGCTGTAAGTACTCCCTTTTGAATTAGCTGAGCTTCTCTACATATGCTCTACAGACCACATGGGCTCATATCCTATGCCTCTTCCCTTGCACTCAGTAAATCTCCATGTTTTCAAGATGTGAGAGAACAGAAAGCTAAAGCCTGACTTAATTCTACAATCTCTAGGTGAGGACTTTCTTTCAGTGGGAGTTTTACATGTGTGTAGGCGGACAAGCAGACCTGTAGGAAGAGCAGTTGGAAGCAGGAAGGCAAGAAATTGCTGCCTGCAAATGTGAGCAGCTTGGAGAGGACAGTACACAGTGTCCCCTCCCAGGCGTGTTCGCGGCCAGGGCACAGTCAATTGCAAATATGAAAGCACAGGATTCACAGTGGGAAAAGTAAGATTTTGCCTCCATGCTGGAGCTTGGGTGATCTATATGCATACCAAAGGCATTTTGCACAAATCAAGTCTGTAATATACAGTGTATTTAGCAGCTGTATCTTAAAAAGAGGCCTTTGTAGAAGGCCAGTGCAAACTTTAACTAGTATAATTGGATGGTTGTATCTAAGACGAAGAGCACACCCAACGTAGAAGACATGAGGAAGTTTCTGAGAAAAGGGAGTTGTTTGGGTTTTTTCTATTTCCTGGCATAAGCACCCATATAGGGGTTTTAAGCTTGGTTATAACTGATTTGTGTATTTTCTAAAACAATTTTTTGGGCCATACACTAGCTCTTGTATATGTTGCCATTTGCTACTTCCAGAAAAAAAAAGTCACCATTTGTCTCCCTACTAATACTGTTAATTGCAGGTTCTCTTTGTTTGTTTCATACAACCACAGCACCGGAGGATATGTACAAGACGTCGAATACGGCAACACAGCGCAGCTCGGGGACTGCCATGGTAAGGCGTAGTCATTGCTGCTCGTTTAGAATGTCTCGGCAATAGTCTGTGGCCACACCTCACTATGGATGTTAAATTTATGATGAGCTTTTCAGTAACATGATGAACACATATATCACCTGGTGTTACTGTGAACGTTCACAAAGCTGAGCTTTTTGGTCCTGGGTGGCAGAGTTTTCTCTTTCCTTCACCAGTTTACAACTATTTGGGGTCTACAGCAAAGTATTGAAGAATTTATTTTTTGTAACCGGTAATATTTTAGTTTTTATTTTCCATTACTCAGATTTGAGAACTTTTGCTTTCTTTTTGTTACTTTTTTACTGATTACTTGTTCCTTTAATTCTTTTAGAAATTTTGCCTACTACAGCTACATCAGATTACAAAATATTTGGCGACCCAACATCTGGTTAGTTTTTTTTAATTTTTTTGAATTAATGACCTTTACTTTCCTTCAGTTCAGCATTTTCAGCCCTTTTTTCCTTCCTTTTGCACAGTTGGCAATCTTCCATTTTTGTGCTTTTACTCATGTTCCCACTGATGGTAAAGATAGTCAGACTCTTCTCACTCAGCACTTCACCCTGTGTAGCCGCATGTTAACAGCTCATTATTTATGGAGACATCTTTTATTAAAGAGCCTGATTAACATAGATGACATCTTCACTGCACGAAAGTCCACTAAGCTTTACTCTATCCCCAGCCATGCATCTGTGAATGCCCCTATTGGTCATCTCTAGTAGATGAATGGCAGAATTTCATCATCTTCCTCCTTCCCTCTCACTTCCTCTTTTCCTTCTTCCCCAGCAAGCTCTTTGCATAAATACACATTTTCCAGAATGTGTATTTGTATATTTTTGAAATGTTTGAAGTAGTTTATGCTAATGGAAAAAAATTTAACATCATAGACTGTGTAGCTGAATGAGGACATGTGTAGACAAAGGTGGCTTAGAAAAAACTTCATGCACTGCTGTCAGATGGACTTTCACATCCTTTTCTCCTTCAGTGGTTTTTCTAGTAGTGTTTTCACCGTCGGCCCCTGGTGTTCTGGAGACAGGACCCAGTACTCCTCTGTTGAACGCCAAAGCAGAACCTGTGTTGACTTCAACAGGAGCAAGACTGAGGCCTTGTTTTCCAGTCTTTGCTCCTGGAACTTGAGTCTCTGCCTTCAAACCAAGGGCACGTTTCTTGCTGACAAATATGAAAATAATCTATTTGTATGTTAGATTTGGAAGAGTGCGACAAGAACATTATTTTGTGTTTTGGTTTCTGGTATTTGAATTTCTGTAACTTGACAAGAAATGTTTAAGACAAATATTTTCCAAATATATTTACTCATAATGTAAGTTAGAGACTCACTTAGGAAAGCAAAACAAACCAAAACTGTTACAAGGAAATGCTACCTTGCTCGCATGAGTGCTTACTTTATCAACTGAATTTTCAAAGGAATATTTTAGGACACAGATACAACTGAACCTTATTTTCAAGTCCTGAATGAATTTATGCTTTTCAAGTACATTTCTCAGTCGAGTCTAAAGCCATAGATGTTCATGCCTAAACCTACTGGGACAGGGAACACAAAATACTTGAGCATGCAAAGTAAACTTTGGATTGTAAACCCAGTTTGATGTGTTTTTCCCTCACATGCATTTTCATGTAGGCTGTGGCGGTTCTGTTCAGCACATGTACTGCAGAAGAGCAAGAATCTATGCGGCAATGGTTCCTTAAGGAAGCATTACAAAATAGGGGTTAAAAACATTCCTTTCCCATCTGTAGAAGTGGCTCATTCAGCAGTTCCTGGTGTACCGTAATAGCACTAATGGAGCTGATCTGGTTTCTCAGGTGTAACCTGTCACAGTGTATGTCTTTCCAAATAACTTTTTTGAAGATGGTTCAAAGGCAGCCAAGTATGTTGTCTTCATTGAAGACTATAGCAATTAAGTAGAAGTGCTTTTCACCTCCACCAGTTGCTTACTGTAACTTTTGCACTGCTTTCTTGTTTGACTTCTCTGGCTTTTTGGCTAGTTGGCTGTTGATGTTTTAATGTATTTTTTTTTGTACTTAAAGTTTTGAACCAATTGATTTTAATCAGCCCTCTGTACTTCTGCAGAGTGTAGGGGGGGTCACGTTTTGCTCTGACATGTAACTCCCATTAAATACTGTCTCCAGCTATAGCCTAGATGTGCCATGAAACAGTGAGGAAAGCCTGACTGTAATACACATTAATAAAAATCTGTTTGCCACCACAGACATGGAGTTCTCCTCAGCTTCCATTACCACAATGGCAAGTATCCCAGTTATATCACCTAAAGTGATTGGTTCCTGGAAACCTAAAGTGACTGGCTCTCGGAAATTTGTAGTTCAAGATGACCCAAACACTTCTGATTATTCTGATCCATTATCAGGTGTCCCAAAGGGTAAGGCCTTACCAGGGAATACATTGCAGCTGAATGGAAACCTGATAGTAGTCTCAGCATTGTCCAAGGCTTAAATGTTAACAGCCATGATCGTTGGGCTATACTTTACACCCATTTCCTGTGAATATGCAGACAGTGCAATCATGTTTTTCATACCTACTTATCCGGTGTACAAAGTGCTGCTTAGAGCTCATAATGGGAAACACAGATAATAAGCTCAGCCTTTTATTCCTGGGGTGCTCCAAAGCTCCTATTAAAATCCATGGGAGTTCTAGATGCATTAAAAAAAAATACACTGAAGACTTACCTGCACCTCTGGTGGTTGTTTCCAAGCTAGTCTAGATTGGATAAGACTATTAGTCCTCATGAATGTTTGCTTAGAAGAGCTTTATGTTGGGTGAGGGGTTTTTTTGGGGGAGGTTGGTTTGTGGTTCAGGGTTTTTTAGGGGAGGAGAGGAGAGAGACGGGGGGTGACAGAAAAAAAAGCACAGCTCATGGCAGATCCATGTGTTAAATGTGGCATATCCCAAACTCTGCCTGCCTGCAGCATAGTTCTGAAGAACCTGGATGAAATCTCAGTAAGGATCTGCTGAATTTTTATTCTCTGGATGTGAGCATTGGTTTACAAATAATCCTGGTACATAGATACACACAGGTTTTAAGCCAAACACAAAAAAGAAATGTATTCTGCATATAATTCATCTCTCTGTGGCCATTTGTTCAGCTCAGTGAACCTTTGATTAGACTCTTATGGCAACAAAGACACTAATTCAGTAGGACTATTGCAGTCAACCAAAGAATTGAGAAGCTTCCAATTCCATAACCAAAGCTTAACACAAGTCTTCATCAGTACCCAGACCAGCCAGGTGACAGACATGTTTGCACAATTCTGTATTTACTGAAAATCTCACCAACCAACAACCATTTGTGTTTTATTACCATTCACAAAAACATATCAGGTTTCCTATCAGCCATTATGGCAGTGCATTTGTCATTTCAATTTGTTGCGGTTATTTTCCATTTTGCTTTAAGTTTTTGTTATCATTTGTTCTTGGTTCTGAATCACATTCTGTATCATAGCTGTTAGTGAACTTTACTCATGTTTTCTTTTCTTCTGCACAGTGCCATTAAAACCTATAACCCAGAACATTAACGATGTTCAAAGGCCTTGCCTCTAACAGACGTGAATCTCTTCCTTCACTCTTGCTCTTTCATTGTAACATCCCTTGGGATAATTAACAGAATACTCTCATTGAAAACTAACATTGTCTTAGTTACAAGATGTCTGTGGTTGCTTTAAAAATCTCAAAAAACCCAAAAGGAGTTTGTTAATACACACATAAAAAAACCTTCTTGGTCTAAACTAAAAGTTTTCTAAATTTTAACATTCTCTAATAACTTAACCTTGCAAGTTGTTCTGATTTTTTTTTTAACGTTTCACAAGTATTTATGTTCATTTATTGACTAAAAAAAAAGAAGAAAATGAGTACTCTAATAGAATGACATAATCCTGAACTTCAAATATTGTACACTTATATAATGCAACAGGTTTACAAGTTTTGTACCACATTAGATTAACATGATTATAACAATGCAGTGTGAACATTATACAGTTTTACACAACATTTGCATAATCCTGTCTCTCTTTTGATACTGATTTATGAGTTGGGCAGAAAATTGAGAGAGAAGTCCATCCCTGAGTTATTAATTGCTGTCTGGCTCAGTAGCCCCTTCTAACCTCAATTTTCCAGCAGAAATCATTAATGTTAATAGCATACGGGCCCCTATATGTGAGTCTTACAGGAAATTTGGGGAACAGGCTAAACTGAATGTAGTATGAGGAGAGAAGCTTTGACAAGCAAGCCTCGTTGTCAGAGAAAATGGACAGTCTTTGTTTAGACTGACCAGTGCTCACACAGTCAGTTTTATTTAGAAAATTATTTGCAATCACCAGTGCTGTAGATTGCAGGATGCAACCGAGTTACACTAGCACTAGACACAGAGCACTTAGAAACGCTTAACAGACTTCCCTGAGGGAGGCTGCCTTCCTCTGAAATTAAGTATAAAGAGCACAGTATGAAGTGCATGTAGATTGATGATATGCTGCATGTCTTTTGCAGGTGTCAGGTGGGAAGTACAATCAGGAGAGTCCAACCAAATGGTGCATATGAATGTCCTAATCACTTGTGTCTTTGCTGCTTTTGTCCTGGGAGCCTTTATTGCGGGAGTGGCTGTTTACTGTTACCGGGATATGTTTGTACGGAAATCCAGAAAAATACACAAAGATGCAGAATCGGCTCAGTCCTGTACTGACTCCAGCGGGAGCTTTGCTAAACTGAATGGGCTGTTTGATAGTCCTGTCAAGGAATATCAACAAAACATTGATTCACCCAAACTTTACACAAACCTGTTGACTAGCAGAAAGGAGCTGCCACCAAACGGTGACACTAAGTCCATGATGATGGACCACAGGGGCCAGCCTCCGGAATTAGCCGCGCTTCCAACTCCTGAGTCTACACCAGTTCTTCAACAGAAGACTCTGCAGGCTATGAAAAGTCAGTCGGACAAAGGGCATAGTAACCTCAATGCTTCACGAAAGGAAGCCCCACTAAAAAGCCCTCAGTTTTTTCCTTCCAGTCCTCCACCCCACTCTCCTTTAAGTCACGGACACATTCCTAGTGCTATCGTTCTTCCCAACGCTACCCACGATTACAATACATCTTTCTCAAATTCTAATGCGCACAAGGCAGACAAAAAGATGCAACATATTGATCATCCACTTACAAAATCATCCAGCAAAAGAGACCACAGGAGATCTGTTGACTCCAGGAACACCCTGAATGATTTTCTAAAACACTTGAATGAAACTACTAGTAATCCCAAAGCAATTCTGGGAGATATTCAAGTGGCTCACCAGACTTTAATGCTGGATCCAATGGGAAATATGTCTGAGATCCCACCTAAGGTTCCCAACAGGGAGGCGTCTCTATACTCTCCTCCATCAACTCTTCCGAGAAACAGCCCCACAAAACGAGTGGACGTTCCCAACACTCCTGCAGTACCAATGACCTCTTTGGAACGGCAGAGAGGTTATCACAAAAATTCTTCACAGAGGCATTCAATATCTGCCCTTCCTAAAAACTTAAACTCACCAAATGGTGTTTTGTTATCCAGACAGCCTAGTATTAATCGTGGGGGGTACATGCCTCCCACGGCTGGCACAAAGATGGACTACATGCAAGGGACACCTGTCAGCGTTCACCTCCAGCCTTCCTTGTCCAGACAAAGCAGCTACACGAGCAACGGCACTCTTCCTCGTACAGGAATAAAGAGGACATCCTCCTTAAAACCCGATGTGCCACCGAAACCCTCATTCGTTCCTCAGACAACTTCAGTCAGACCACTGAACAAATACAGTTACTAGGACATGTCTGTACTAAAAAAAAAAATGAGTGTGGCATTGACCTGTACAGGTTGTGAGATGATGTGGTAGGCACGTAAGACAGAGACTTGCTTGTTTAATTAAAGAGAACAAAGTGGCCAAAGAAACTGTCTTTACTTCAGCAACATCTGTCTTGCCACATGTAGCCACAGCAAGACTTCATGTACTTGCTAAGAGCAAACACACACAAAAAAACCCACAACAACAAAGGAAAGTGCTGGTCATTACATTTCTTTTGTTTGGAGCTAAGGAGACATGTAGCACAATGGGGGTGGGGGCTACTTTACTGTTCCGAATAGCTAAAAAAAGTTATTGGGGAAAAAAATGAGTAAGCAAATACTTGAAAAAAAAAATGGGTTCCATTTTAGACTGCCATTAAGTGTGGTCCTTCCCATTAAATGTGAACATTTTAAAATGTATGCATTCACCTTGCCTCTTGCACAAATGTCAGAAAATGGCAATGTCTCAATGAATATCTGGGTTAATAATCAATTTGCTGGAATTCAGCCTCTGGCCCAACTGTAGCATTGTTATTATTTTTTTTTCTCTCTCTCTGTGTGGCATTTTGTTTGTGCCACAGATAAGCTGTGCGTGTGTGTGGATGTGCGTGTGTACTGTACACACTAGGATGTACTTAGATTCCCATTGCATCTCTTATGCTGTGGAATTGTTTACATTGAGCATGACTGAACAAACAGATGACTCTGCCTTCTGCAGCCCGTTGGGTTCAGGTTGGAGACAGCTAAGGCTGAACGGCGCATCTCTGCCAGCCTGCTGAGTGATACTGCCTAGATGAAATAGTCATCCAGTGAAAGAGTGCAGATATGTTTAATTCCTCATAACTCTGTTACGCTGCTATTGATTCAGAGCTGTGCATTTCAACTCTAGTGTTCGGGGCTGGAATGGGGGAGTTTTACTGTGTTTCCACAGTGCCTCCATCCAATACTTGGCCACTGTGAACTTGAGCCCCTGTACTTCTCGTTTAGGGCAGCTAATAATCAACTCACCTGGCAAAGTCCTGTGTAACTAGAGAAGGTTATATTTCTGTTGCATTTAATAATGCCCTACACACTGATAGACTTGTCAGTAAAACAGAAGAAACATTAATTGGCCTGGCAGAAGCAGTCTGTGAAAACTCAACAGTAGTGCAATCAATTTGTTTTTGTTGTGTAATGTAAGGGTTTGTTTGGTTTTGGTTTTTTTTTTTTCCGAAGTCATGCAGGTAATGACAATATTCTGTAAATATTATGTGTGAGTTTACCTGAATCTGTGCATTTTGTGCCTTATTCATGCAAATGATAAAAGTACTAAAAAAAAAAATAATAAATCTGTCAAGTGTTCTCACTATAGCACATATCTCCCGAGTGCCAGTTGTAAAACCTCTCAACAGCACCCAAAAAAAGGATAAAAAGCAAGAATAATTAATGGTAACTAAAGGCAGCCTACAATCCAAGAAGACAGCAGCATTAAATCACCTTACCATGATAAACATTCCACTCAGCTCTCCGAAGGATCAAACAGTTATAATGTGAAATCAAATGAGGTTTCTAGGGTAATGGAACACCTGCTAAAGTTGTGTAAGCTATTTAGTAGGTTTTACAGTATCCACTTGCAGCTGATGTTCAACACAGATGGCTGTTTTAGCTTGCATACTACACACTACCACATTGTTTATTGAACATAACTATAGAAATAACCATGGCAGAGGAATATTCATGAATTAGTGGGACAAATAACTGCAATGGGTTTCAGAGATGGTGGAGATTTATATTATGTGTTCAAAGGGGAGAAAAGGTTAGTCACTGAAAACTGGATCTCTGTTACAGAACAAAGAATAAAGGATAGAAGTAGTCATTTTTTCTTGTAAAGCTGTAAGGGACATTTATTTCCTGAGACCTCTGGATCCAAAAATCAATGATCTCTCTTCCTAAATACTTCTGTCTTGCAACTAAAACACTACAGATTAATACCTATTAAAAATGTACTCGGTTGTCAAAAGACACAAACTGATCAGAATTCACTTTTTACAAATATTAATACAGACTTGTGTGAAAAACAAAAGATAAATGTATGTGAACCCTGATAACCTCCTGTAACATTGTGCTGCCTTGTAGATGGTAATGTGAGTTCTCTCAGTATTTATGTTGAAATTTCTAACATTCAACCTAGTCCTTATTCTGTTAATTTAATAATAAAAGATGCTTTATCCATTTGTGCAAAGGTAAACGCAGATTGTATCTTTTTTAATGGTACGGCATAAAGTAACCCTTAAATGAAGCTGCTCTATACTATAGAGTACTTTAACATGTATAGATATCTTGTAAACTTGTATTGTGGATGTGTAAATAATACGTTCTTTGGGTTTTTAACACCGCATGTAAAGTCAAAATAAAATATTCCAATGTACCATGTGTCTAATTTCATTATTACTGAAGCTAGTTTTAGGTGCAGTGTTGTTGGGATTACAACAGAGGGAAAACTCTGCTTGCCTGCAGCAGCTCTGTGAGGAAGGCACAAAGGTCCTCATCAGCCTCACGGGGGACTCACAGCAGCACACCGGGGTGTCCCTCCAGTTTCATCGCAGGCACACGTTGACTTGATGTTCCAGGGGACGAGTGGCTCTAGATGACTGAGCTTCCTGAGTTAAATATAAAACATCAAAGTAACTGGCCTGCAGTGGCAGAGTGTAGTACAGTCAGGGTTGCCCGTATGACACGCACTAACCAGATGCACTGAACTTGAAAAATGTATAATATATGCCCATATGAAACCATGTTGGAGTTTGATTCAGGTTTCAGCTGAGCTCTGTTCCTTGCAACCTTCTTGTTAAGGTTAGGAAAAAAAAAATACCAATTTTGCGCAAATACAGTACAGCATTGAAAGAAGATAGTGTGTTCCTTCTAAAATGTAGGCTACGAAAAGATGGAGGTAATTCCAGGCAAAATTAATTGCAGACTCTACATAGCAGGACATTCCTAAATACTTAACTAATGCTTAATAATTGAAATTCACATTTCAGGCAGACAGCAAAGCCCAACAGCAAAGCCCAACAGAACTATACATGATATATATTTATAATGTGCCAACACACACACACACACACACATACACACACACATAATTTTAAAATAATCAGATTAATTTAGCACCAGAAAACAAATACAGCATATTCTTTTAATTAAAAGTTGATTTTAGATGATGATTATAAAAATGATGTTATGATATTGTGCTATCAGGGTATTAATCATTTGAAATTACTGAGCATGTTATAACAATACAGCAGCACCAAGTTGCATCTTACTAAGAAAAAAAAAAAAGGAAACTCAGTGCCAAAAAAAAAAAAATCTCAAACCTGTAGTGGCTCAATATATACTTTTTCTAGTGCAGAAGATTGTTTTTACTGATGTGAGATTTTCATTAGATGTCTTTATATGAAATGATGAGTCAAATCCATATCCTGTGGGCTGCTGCAAGTTTGTGCTGCATTTCCACTTTCCAAAAGAACTGGGACTTTGACATGCAAGTGTCAGCCAGGATGGCTCCAGGTGTTCGCTCTTCGAAGGGGCAGTGCCTTTGGAATCACACCTACGTGAGTAATTTTCAGTCAGACACTAAGGGTCGTAATGAGAAATTACAAATAGTTATTTCAGTGCCATATAAATGTGCATCTGCAGTACAAGTGATGGAATTTTTTTTGTTCGGAAAACTGCTTGTTTATTCTCTCTAAAAGGTGTCAAGTGGCCATTTTCCAGTTACTTTTTTGTTCCATGTTGAACCAGCCTTCACTTAACCAGAAGGATGTGTTGGCTGGATAGCAGTAGCCAGACAATCATCTCCCAGCATGTGCTGCTGGCCTACATCACGGGTGCAAGCACCACAGAAATTTGTGAAAACAACTATTCGCCATTCGTCAGAAAGTAAGTACAAGAAAACCGCTCCTTTTACTGATGGAAGAGGAATGCGACAGCCAGCCACAAGCTAACAGGAACTTTTAAATGGCTTTGTCTTCTTGATGGTACCAAAGCAGCCACCGACAGACTCCCTGTTCTGAAAGGGAACTGCAATAAAAAGGAAAAGCTTAGCAAGAAAAGGAATGAAAGCAATTTCATTTTTTCTCCTCACTTGCTCTCCTGGGTCAATTGGTTGGATTTAAGCAGCCTAAGTCTCTCTCTAAGATCAATCTGTGGCCACAGAGCTGGCTGATGAGCACATGAAGGGTGCTTGACGCTGGCCGGCAGGAACATGTTCACCAGGGAGGTCCCAGGCCCAGAGCACAGGGTTGGCCTAAGCCCTCAGCACTGCAGAGAGGTGCAGGAACTCACGTGGGTAGGCAGAGAGCCTCTGGCTCATCTCTGGCTCACTTTGGTTTTTGTAGAAAAAAAACAACCAAAAAACCAAATAATTTTGAACAGAATACAGCCAAGTAAAAAACACAAAACAAAAAAAGGGCTGCAGGCCCATAACAGAGAGATGATTGCAAGAAAAGCAATTCGTAAAGCCGCATGTAGTTATCTCTGTGACTGTGCTGCCAGCACAAACCTATGGCCTTTTAAAATTGGGGTCTTAAAGTAATCAGCATAGTTACAAAAAAATCAGAATGCCTCTGTCTTAGTGCTGTCTTGCTAATGACTCACTCTGTGACCCTGAGAAGATTATGCAGGGTTTATTCAGTATAACGGATCCTCAGAAGGCAATGTTCTTAGCTGGAGTACGTGCAGTTGGTCTCTTTGTCACGTTTTTCCACTTACGAAGGTTTTATTTATCCTTCTGCCTTTGTGATTCTGAGCACCAGCAAGGACATCTTGCAGGTAAATAAAGGGAAGGAGAAATCCCTTCCCATCTGGGAAAGGTTAGTATTTGCAGGAGTGGGGAGGAATTGGATGGTATTTCCCCAGGTGCCTATTAATTTCATGGGATAGAAAAATATTTTTTAAAAATTGATCACGACAAAATGCCTCATAAATGCAGCATCTGGACTTCAGCTGGGATGTGCAAGCTTTTCATATAAAAAGCAGTACCAGGAGACCAACCTACCAAGACTGCATTTGTTGTTCAAATGTCATCACATCACAGTATGAAAGAGCAAGAAACTGAAGGATTTGGGAGGAAAAAAAAAAACAACTCCACATTAAATATTTAATTAGATTCAGCTTTGCTCGGAGAACTAGAGAGTCTTGCCTTTTTATTCAATCCTACTCAAGTGCAACTGGTGTGAGGGCCTGAATCTGGACCAGCCGTTGCTGCCTGTCTGCAAACATTTTTGTAGACATCTTGCATTGGTCTGACACACATCTGAAATTATAATCTGAACTGTCAACTGAGAAACCGTTTCTACTCTGCCTGAAATGAAGTTTATTGGAGACTCTTGATTTTATTAGTGCATTCTGAATTCATCCAATGACCTGATTTATGGTCTGCTTGCTTGCTTTTTTTCCTGCAGTCACCCACAATTTTGTGAGCTCGGCTCTTTAAAATCGTAACTAGATGCAAGTCTATGTTTGATAGCGAAGGCTGCTGACCAAAGCAGAGATGACAAAGGGTCACCACATGTTTAGGTAAAGTTTGAGTATTCCTTGGGCTGCAATGGTGACACTGTATCTTCTCTGCCAGGCAGGTGCCTCTGCCCTTCACATCAGCCAGGAAGTGTTCCTCAAGCTCCTATAATACTTTAAGGGTAGGGAAGAAGAAAAATCTGCCACACAGACAAGTTGACCATTTTCAGGAATGGTCCCCATTTGTCAATGAAAAAGGAAATTTACAACAGGAAAACTTTAAGTGCCAAAAAAACCAAAAGCCCAAACCTGACCTGCACACATCTTGTCCTTGTTTTAAGAATCACAGGCTGTCTTTCTAGGGCAGAATCTCACTGACTTGCATAAAAATGAGGAAAGAATAACAGTTCTCAGTGACGGCCCTTCTGCAGGATCATACCTGGCTGTAATAGCTGTTTTGTAATTTTCCGGTAGCTGACCTTAAACATCAGCAAAGGCAGACCATGAGCTGACTGGTTTGCTCCTGTAGCTCTACGGTAGCCTTTAACAAATGTCTGTTCAAGCACAGAAATGGATGGCTGCCTAGTAAGAGAAGAAAGGTGGCAATTGTCTTTTAATTTGGGTCACTTTAGGCGCAAGCTTATTTCTCAAATCTTTGATTTACAGTACTGGCCTCACATGAGGAAAAAATAATCAAAAGTAGATCAGAGCAGGTGAATCATAAAGGCAACGCACAAGCCAGCTCTACCTTCCCTTTGTGTGCAATGAATATCTATCTGATTACTCTGATTTCTTCAGGAATACATGCTGGTCAATTAACAGCTTGAAAATTTTTTTTTGTTACAGACTAATGGCGAATTTTTATAATCAGGCCGTGCTGTATAACTGCGAACGGCTGTTAGCCACAGGTTATTGTGCCTGGCCAACAATTAGGTGAGTGAGAAGCAGTTCCAATATTAATGCTGTATGTGAGAATTGATTTCTGTGAAAGCTTGTGCGTGCAGCTCTGATGTTCAGTCTCTGTCACTGACTCCATCAAATGAGATGGCAGAGCTGCATGGGGCCAGGCCTTCACCCTCAATCACTCAGACATTCCCAGAAAGCAAATGCTAAGGAGGTGTGAGCAAGACCACAGCAAAATGCGATGCACATCTGCAGGAAAGCATTTGTTGTACTAGCATGCAGCCCCAACATCATCTCTGGCCACATTTGTTTCATAAGGGCATAAAAGCTTCAGAATAAGAAAAATGTCTCTGAGGGAATGGTCTGCTGCTTCTGGTTTTTGGAGGTTTTTCCAGCAGGTACAGCAATGGAGGCTGAACCACCCTACCTAGGCCAGCTGACATCTTGTGTGTGGAGTACTCTTGCCATCCCTGGACCACAGTGTGTGTGTTTGTAAGTTTGACTGGGTTTAAATGCGCCACAAGAGCCCATCATATATATTACATGGGGACATAAGACACCCAATCCCAAGTTGCCAGGCACAAAAGAAAAGCTGTATAAAGGCACACACTGAGCTCAGTGAAACTATCCTGTTTCCACTAATGGAAGCAGAAGAGGGTGTTTTGTGGTGTTTGGTTCAA